CTAGAGACTATCTTATGTAGTATTTACAGTGTTTTCAGTGTAATATGTCTGCCAATAGTATAGTGGCTTGTTCCATATTTGTTGTTGTGGTTAGAACAACAATGTTTAGTTTATAATTGAGAAAGCTTCTTAAGAGAAGAGGGAATGTGTTTTTTTAGATGCTGCTTGTAATTATTAGAACTGGGAGCACTGGCTGTTGGGAGTCTGGAAGCACAGGAAATAAGAAACAGGAAGAATGGGGGAGAAGATTAGCCAGGGCTGAGTGAGAGCTACAGAGGGGTGCAGCAGCTTTGTAAAGAGGTTTCACTTTTGGTAAACAAAGTCCTGTTGAAGTTTGTTAGTATCTTGTTTCCATGATACAACAATAGAGCATAAGGATATTACTCTGTAAGGCTCTTCCACAGGTAAAAGGTCCTGCAAATCCCACAGAGACCATGCCTTGAGCCCCAGGAATTGGGTAAGGGTAGGTGCCTAAATTAAGATGGTTGCATCTTGAGCTTAAGGAATCTGGTAAATTTGGGTGTCCCCAGAATGTGTGAGTAACAGAATTTTGCGCAAGGAACAGTGGCAGGTTTGTTTAAATTAGTTGTAACATATATAGTTGCATTTTCATCTTTCTTTTTAATTTACCACTTATTTTTGTGGCATCTGACTTAAATAGAAATTGGATTGCATAGTTTTCAATTAAAAGTTTTCTAAGTTTCTTCTGTAAACTTCTGATGATTCCTGAAATTAAGTATTTTCAATTTCTGTAACTTGATCATAGTTCTAAACAACATGTTGGTGTTTTATTCTGAGTTTGTGTTTACAGTCAATAATGGGAAAACTTCCAGTGAAAACAGACAATACAGGAATTTAACTGATCAAAAGTATAGTCATTGTTTGACTTGGAATCAAGCTACTGGCAAATGCCCATGTCTAATGAAAACAAAAAAAATTCTCAATGCCCCGAAAATATCCTCCCATATAGGCTGCAACAATTAACAAGCCTGTCGTGAGGCTTATATTAGTAATTAATGAACTATGTACTTCAAGTTTAGAATGGAAAAATACACCATTTGCTTAGATAACAGAAATTAAAAAGCCTGGGAATTGAACTTGGATGCTATATTATTAATCTAAGAAATCTGAGATAAAATCTGGTCCAAGCCTCCGAGGTTCTTCTTATCTGTCATCTTCACACAAACAACATAAGAATGGCCATTCTGGGTCAGACTGAAGGTCCATGTAGCCTAGTATCCTGTCTGCCGACAGTGGCCAATACCAGATTCCCCAGAGGGAGTGAACAGAATAGGTGATCATCAAGTGATCCCTCTCTTGTCATCCATTTCCAGCCCCAAACAGAGACCAGGGACACCATTTCTACCCATTCTGGCTAAAAAGTGTTGATGGACCTAACCTCCAATACTCTATCTAGTTCTTTTTTTAAGCAATAGGCTTAAATTGCAGCAAGGGAGGTTTAATTTGGACTTTAGAAAAAAACTTCTTAACTGACAAGGTGCTCTTCTACCAACATAGCATGTCTATACTGGAGCTTATGTCATTGTAACTTCTATCACTCAGGGAAAGGAGGGTATTCAAATCTCTGAGCAACATAAATGTAAGTGGCAGTATTGACATATACTAAACAATCTGTTCAAACCTTATATTTAGCAGTGACACTGAGTTAGCCTAAGTAGGTAATCTATCATCACCCCCATGAGCTGATTATGTCCCACCAGAGTCACTTGTACCCATTAGTTGAAGGATGATATATATTTTGCTCTTCTGACTACTCCCTCCTCACTTTACAAGCTCTTCCTTTTAGGATAGTTGCAATAAAATGTTCTCTGTCCCATTCTCCATCCATTTTTAATGATTCCTAACATTGTGTTTCCTTTTTTGACTGCCGCTGCACATTGAGCGGATGTGTTCAGAGAACTATCCACAATGACTCTCTTGAGTAGTTATAGCTAAATTAGTCCCAATCATATTGTATATAAAGGGTAAACAGTGAGGTGGCAAAATTTGCAGATGGTTCAAAACTATTCAAGATAGTTAAGACCAAAGCCACCTCACTGTCTACCCCTTTCTCCAGATCATTTATAAATAGATTGAATAGGATTGGCCCCAGTATAGACCCTTAGGGGATATCACTTGTTACCTCTCTCCATTCTGAAAAAGTATAATTTATTCCTACCTTTTGTTTCCTGTCTTTTAACCAGTTATCAATCCATAAGAGGACCTTCCCCTTTATCCCATGACAGCTTACTTTACTTAAGAGCCTTTGGTGAGGGACATTGTCAAAGGCTTTCTGGAAATGTAAGTACACTATATCCACTGGATCCCAGTATAAACCCTTAGGGGATATCACTTGTTACCTCTCTCCATTCTGAAAAAGTATAATTTATTCCTACCTTTTGTTTCCTGTCTTTTAACCAGTTATCAATCCATAAGAGGACCTTCCCCTTTATCCCATGACAGCTTACTTTACTTAAGAGCCTTTGGTGAGGGACATTGTCAAAGGCTTTCTGGAAATGTAAGTACACTATATCCACTGGATCCCCCTGGTCCACATGTTTCTTGAGCCCCTCAAAGAATTCTAGTAGATTAGTAAGCCATGATTTCCCTTTACAGAAACCATGTTGGCTTTCCCCATACAAATTATGTTCATCTATGTGTCTGACAATTTTATTATTTACTATAATTTCAGCTAAATTGCCTGATATTCACGTTAGACTTACCAGTCTGTAATTGTCAGGATCACCTCTAGAGCCCTTTTTAATATTGGCGTCACATTAGCTATCTTCTAGTCATTCGGTACAGGGGCTTATTTAAAGGATAGGCTACAAACCACAGTTAACAGTTACGCAATTTCACATTTGAGTTCTTTCAGAACTCTTGGGTGAATGCCATCTGGTCCCAGGGACTTGTTGCTGTTAAGTTTATCAGTTTGTTCCAAAACCTCCTCTAATGACACCTCAATATGGGACAATTCCTCAGATTTGTCACCTAAAAAGAATGGCTCAGGTTTGGGAATCTCCCTAACATCTTCAACCGTAAAGACTGAGAATTAATTTAGTTTCTCTGCAAAGACTGTATCGTCTTTGAGTGCTCATTTGGCATCTCAATTGCCCAGGGGCCTCACTGGTTGTTTACCAGGCTTCCTGCTTCTGAGGTACTTAAAAAACATTTTGCTATTACTTTTTTATTTTTTTTGGCTAGCTGTTCTTCAAACTCCTCTTTTGGCTTTTCCTATTTTTACACTTAATTTGACAGAGCTTGTGTTCCTTTCGATTATCCTCACTAGGATTTAACTTCCACTTTTTAAACAATGCCTTTTTATCTCTGTCAAGGCTGTTCCCCACTCTGGCATGATGAATGCATAAGTTGGGGGCCCGCAAGAGCACAGGCTCTGGTACAAAGCCCTCTGCCTCCAAAATCCTAATACCCAGATTTTGGGGAATCCACTGAACCATCAAGCGCTTCTGAAACCATAAACAGGCAGGGACACTTGAAACCAACCCGAGGGGTATCCCAAGCTCTTTTTCCCCAAAAGAGCTTGAAAAAGAAAAGAGAAAAACAAGCTGCAGTCTGTGGTAGCTAACCCCTCAGTCAGGTATGCAGGTACACACAGACAGACCTTCCAGGACACAAACGTCAACCAATACCAGTTAATTAGAAAAAAGAAACTATCATTTATTATCAAAACAAAACAACAGTTGCAAGCATAGTAAAGTGGCCAGATGGAAAGAGCCACCAACTGATATAGATACTCAGGGAAAGTCCCTGGGCTAAAAGCCTTAGTTAAAAAAGAAAAAAAAACATCATTAACAGCTCAGACATTATTTCCAAATCCCCAAACAAGGAAAACAACAAATCCTGATGGACTAGCTAAACTTTTCCCTACTTACACCTTGTAAGAAGTCCGTTCTTGGAAAGAGAAGTGTCTCTCTTCTCCCTCAGTACTTGGGAGACACTGCTCTGCCTCTCAAACAAAGAACAGAGAAAGAAACCCCTCTTTTCCCATTTGAAATTCCTACCTGGCTAAGTACAGGAGACATTAGTTAACCCCTTACTCACCAGGTTCTGGTCAGCACTCCTGATTATGATAATCTCTCACTGCTTCTTTTACTTGGTTGTTAAGCCACGGTGGCACTTTTTTAGTTCTCTGAGGGTACGTCTACACTTGCTCCCTACTTCGAACTAGGGATTCAAATGTAGCCGACCGAAATTGCTAATGAAGCGGGGATTTAAATATCCCATGCTTCATTAGCATAATCTCGCCTGCACACTATTCCGCTCGCCAGCTGATTCAAACCTGGATATGCGCTCCAAGACGCGTTAGTTCGAATCAAACCCCTTGGTTCGAACTAACGTTACTCCTCATTTTTAAACCCTAGTTAAATCCCCGCTTCATTAGCAATGTCAGTCTGCTACATCTGCATCCATAGTTTGAACTAGGGAGCAAGTGTAGACGTACCCTTACTGTGTTTTTAATTTGGGGTGTACATTTAAGTTAGAATTCTATTATGGTGTCTTTGAAAATTTTTCATACAACTTGCAGGGTTTTTACTTTTGTCACTGCACCTTTTAATTTCTGTTTAACTAACCTTCTCGTTCTTGTGTAGTTCCTCTTTCTGAAGTTAAAGGCCACAGTGTTGTGCTGCTGAGGTAGTTTTCCCACCCCAGGGATGTTAAATTGTATTACATTGTGGTCACTATTTCTAAGCGGTCCGGTTATATTTACCTCTTGGACCAGATCGTGTGCTCCAGTTAGGACTAAATCAAGAATTGCCTCTCCCCTTGTAAGTTCCAGAACCAGCTGCTCCAAGAAGCAGTACTTTCAGGTACCAAGAAATTTTATCATTGCTTCCTATCCTGAGGTGACATGTACCCAGTCAATATAGGGATAGTTGAAATCCCCCACTATTATCAAGTTTTTTAATTTGACAGCCTCTCTAATCTCACTTAGCGTTTCATAGTCACTATCATTGTCACCGCAGCGGTTAACCTGGTGAACACTGGTAAATCAAAATATTACAATAGATTATATACGCAATAGATTGACAGAGAAGAAGCAATTTGATAGGGTCTGGCGGCGAGACAAAATGAGCACATAAGCCAATAAACTACAAAGGTTACACAGCATCTCCGCCCATCACCATTTAAAAATCTTATCAATAATACAGGTAGTTATTCCTAACAAGCTAAATATGCCAACATAAACAAAACAAACATGTTAACGGCAACTTTGTCTGTTGAAATTATGATGCGTCTACTGCAGGGTGATACTGCCTCGTGTTGGTGTAGTCCGTGGGTTCCAGGCTTATTATCTAGGATTAAAGGAAGATAGTAAGTACAAATCACACTCGTTAACCTTAACAAAGTTTGTTTTCGTGCCAGCCAGTGTCTTATTGGAATGAGGCCCTCTTGGAATGTGGTTGCCAAGGTAACCAGGGTCATGTTAACTGCTTGTGCTGTGTGTTCCCAGGCCTGTCTCAAATTTGGGATTGGATAGGGGTTCTTGACAAAATACCATGGACTGCCTCAGTTTACCTCTACAGTTGAAATCCCTCACTATTATTGAGTTCTTTATTTTGATAGCCTCTCTAATATTTCATTCTTCACAATGTTATTTGGGTCTCTGGGAAAAATGTATATAGAGTATGGCTGAACATTTTTGTGCGGCATTTCTCAGAGCACATTCCTTTTCTCCATGTTCTGTGCTAGCTTCCATTTCATTTCTGAGCATGGTCTAGGTATTGGCTTTAACCTGAACATAATTAATTTGAAGTTTGATAGACTATCTCCAATTACTTCTCTTTGTTTGGTATGTGGCTGTGATCCTCAGAGGCCCTCACATTATTGTCCTTTGTTTTATGAGGAACTTGGAGACAGGAGTTTCAGCGTTGGACTCCCAACTAAGTAATTTGCTTCCACATTGGTTTATCAGACTCAAGTTTGAACTTCAGGGTACATAGTAAGATTTGTCTGATATTCCAGGCCTTTTCTGGAGGAATGCAATGAGGACATGAAAAATTTAAAGCTAGGGGCAGAAGGGTGAAAATGTCAGCCGTCTAATGAACGTCAAAATGCAAGTGAAATCCTAAAATGAGTGAGACTCCATGTATTTTTTTCTGTGACTCTGATGTGTCCTTATGTAGTCTTTGGGGATCTTCATGTGCTAGGTATTAGGTTCATCTAGTTCAAAACTTACCACATCAAACTTAGCATGGTGTGAGCTGTGCTGTCCAAAGCTTGACACTATTCTAAACAGAACCATTCCCTTGCTGGAAACAGATTCTTAACTGATATGGACAAATGGGATTTATGTTAAATGTCAAATCTAGCCTAGAAAGGAAACACTTTGCTTTTCTTTTTTCTTTTTTTTTAAATGTGTCAGAGTATATTCCACACCTTCTGAGCCTGATTTGCCATTGTATTACTACAGGTTTATGAGTGTAACTTCAGCAAAATCAATACCGACAAACTGTGATTTAAACATAGTGGTCCTCAACCTCACCCATATCAGAGCTGGTTCTCTTATATAATCAAGATCTATATATTTAGGGTTTGAAGATTAAAAGATTTTAATTGCCCCCCATAAAAATGAGGAGTTATCAGCAATCATGACCATTAAGTTACATGAATAAGAATTCCCATAGACATGACTGACAACTTTTCTAGTAAGAATGACTGATCTGAAAAGCACACAAAGAGAATTCTTTACCCACGAAATAGGATTCCAGAATCCCAGGAGGACAGAGTCTTTGGAGAAGCTAAATATTAACTCCATAAAGTCATTTGGTTTAAGAATGACTCTATGTGAAATTCATTCCTTCACAGAAAGCAACAATAAGGATTACAAACCTCATAAATCTCATTTAAAGCCTCTAAACCGGCTTTGTGCTGGCTGTTGTAGTGTAGTGTATTCCATTTTCTGAGATGAGCCAATGGTCTTCTGCGTATTAATGAAGTTATCAGAAATAAGTATAAATAGTTTTAAAGAATAAAATCACTATTTTAAGATTTTTTCTTAGCTAGTCATGTACAGTGTTCTAATTCCTTTATTACTTAAAGTGTACTAAACATTTTTCATTATTTCATATTTCTTGCCACTAGATGGGGATGTTATCAGCTGTCTTTTTCTATTTGGGTATGAATACACAGCAAAGTTATTTCGAAATAACAGCTGTTATTTTGAAATAACTATCCTAGCATCTACACAGTCATTCCGTTATTTCGAAATTAAATCGAAGTAGTGGAGGGCTTGTTTCGAAATTGGTAAACATAACTCCATGAGGAATAATGCCAATTTTGTAATTGCTATTTTGAAATAAGTGCTGTGTAGACACTTATTTTGAAATAGGGGGGCTCCAGCCTTCCCAGGGTGCCCTGGTGGCCACTCCAGCCTCAACCAAGAACACTTCTCTCCCTTCCCCCCGCCCTGGAGCCTTAAAGGGATTGACTCTGGCCACAGTGCCTGTGTGGAGCCTTAAAGGGATTGACACTGGCCACAGTGCCTGTGCCAGCTCCAAGCCTGCCAGCCCAGAGACAGCAGTCACTGTCCCTGACCCAGTGACCCCAAAACATGAGCCAGCAAGCCACTGGCAGTCAGCCCTCCACCGCTCCCCAGGAGCAGTCTGCCAGCTCCCAGGAGCCTGACAGGGGCTGGAGAAGGCGGGAGCCTTCCTGGTCTAGGGTGGAGATCATGGACCTTATTTACGTTCGGAGGGGATGCCCCCAACATACATGATCTCCACACTAGACCGAGGAATGCAGCCATCTATGGCAGGATAGCTGCCAACCTGCCCACCAAAGGCCACATATAAACCCAGGAACAGGTTTGCATGAAAATCAAGTTGGTCCGGCGAGACCGCCCAACCCTGAGCCCTAAGCTTCCCCTCCCCCTTCTTCCCCTTGCTTCCCCCTTCCAGGTCCCTCCCCCCAGGTCTCCCTCCCCTCCCCCACTCTCTCTCTTCCCCTCTCCTGCCTCCTTTCCCGACTCTCACCAGAGTTTCATCCCTCCCGCCCCCAGTTTTGTTAAATAAAGAGAGTTTGTGTTCATGAAAATACGTGTATTTTATTTGTCATCAGGAAGCGGTGTTAGGGAATGGTAAGTGGAAGGACGTGAGGAAGGAATGAGACACAAGCCCACAGTGGAGCACACCAGGGAGGCTCTTCGTGCTCCTCAGGGTGGAAGCTCTCCCACAGGGCCTCCTGGATACTGACAGCCCCCGATGGACCTCCCAGATGTCAGCCTGCAGAACGTGCCACCAGGCTCACAGCAACATGTCCAACAGAAGCACCAGAGTGCCCAGGGGCAGCTTTGGCTCCATGTTGCAAAGTGCTGTGGTGTCCTGAGTGAGGGCAACCAGAGCACGCAGAGACAAAATGCTTTGCTGTCCCTCATCGAGGTAGGCAAGCAAGCAGGGAAACCTGAGAACTGGCTGTCCGGGGGGTAAGGGGTCCCTTTAAGCACATGCCTCAGTTAGCCTCAGGCAGCAGCCACACAAAGTAACTCCTGACCTGATACCCTGCCGGACCTGGTTCTGGACGGCCTTAAATGCAATTCAGCGTCCACTCAGTGTGGACGCATTATTTCAAAATAGCAAAATGCTATTTCAAAATGCATTTTGTTTGTAGACGCGTTAGTTCGAAATAAGCTACTTCTAAATTAGATATTTCGAAATAACACTGTGGTGTAGACATACTCTAAGTGTTTTTGTTTCTATAGTACTATAGTACTCCTGAAATGTAAGATTTCTCCCTCTTTGGAGAAAATACTAAACCACAGTGTGATGGGTTGTCAGTCTTGAGGTGCGGCCTGGAAGTCCTGCGCACCTCTTAACCACTTTGGGTCAATTTCTACACAGTTTATTTACAGAATATGTTATTAATTAATTAATTAGACTTAAAATAATGAAAAAAGCCTATTATAATGAATGAAAAAAGCCAAGTATCTAAGCATCTTCACACACCATTGATGATACAATCAAATCCCAGCAGCATTAAAATAATCATTTCAAACAGAAACGTAACCAAACAATAAAAAAACTCCTTTCAATCCTTTGTTCATTTTGAGAGATATATGAAATATATGCCATTACGGTGCAAATAAGATGGACACGGTTTGGCCATTCCATTCATATTATTTCCTATCATTGTGATTTTTATTATCATTTATTTTTAAAGAACTATATGGAAAGGTCTGCATGTCAGTAAGACCTTGCTGCAATACTAGTATCAATAGGAAGAGACTGAGCTCAGTGACAGGTATCTGTTTTGCTACTGTAGACCAAGCAGAGGAAAAACAAATCTGGGATGAGTAACTTTAAAAAAAAATGTCGAACCTTGACCAGAATCAACTGCAATTTTTAGGTAGTAAAGATGTTGTACTTAAAGAACTGCACAGGATCTTTTTCAGGGGGATAAGGTAAAAGGTCACATTTATTGGTAATTGAGATTAGATTTATAGATTTCAATCAACACTGTATCATATTCATATGATATACTACACTCATACACACACACAAATACACTCCATCTTATTGTTATTACCAACTTGTTCCTCCGCTTAACTTCACTGGCCAGGTGATTTAAATGGGGGAGGGCAGGAGCTAGGCTTCTGCCGATCCAGATGGATGTTCCAATGTTGACAAGATGAGACCTGGGGTCCTCTGCAAGGCATCCTTCATTTATAATTGCCTCCCTCTCATGCAAATCTATATACTTTAGCAGTATCAGTTAGTCTTCTTAGGCAAATTTATGCAGTCTAGCTGTGTTAGTCATCTGTTGTGCCTTCTTCTAGGTGTTGTCCTCAATGCTGCCACATTCATCTTCAAAGAGGGTTATTGAATTTGCTTCAAAAGAAGACGCTTGCTTCTGACTCCCAAGGCCACCAGTATGTCAGATCTTTTCTCAGTGAGCCCACTTGACAGGTCTTAGTGCCCTTGGGTTTGGCTCCTATTCTTCCCCTTTCCAATTGTTGCAGCCGTTCATCCTCGGAGGTGATTGCCTTCCACGCCTCATTCATTTACACCTTATTCATTCAAGAGGGCCACATTCAAGTCAAAGGAGAGAGATCTATCCTACTTCTAATACAAAGACATTTTCTTAGCCTTAATTATTCCTAAGGACTATAAAATTATAAAAAAGACTTAATACAAAATTTCTATAATATAAAAAGACTAAATACAAATTATGAAAGGACTTGATACTAAGTTTCTACAATATAAAGCATTATAAGAAGACTACATTGTCAGACTAATACAAAGTTTTTATAAAACATTATACTATTATTGTAGATACAACATTTTGGTGGAGAATTGCAAAAGGGGGAAAGGTACCATGAGCATTTATTGGGTAATAAAACATCAACATTGAAAAGTGATTGATCAATCAGTTCTTTAAGTACCACAAAGACAGACATGTTATCCACCTCAACATATTATTTTTTATTTGAACTGTTCATAGCTTCAAAAGAATATATGGGGGGAAAGGATGTTTAAAGGATGTCTACATAACAGTTACACCTGAAAATAAAATTGAGAACAAGATTCAATATTTATGAACACATCTTAGATCAGTGCAACTGTAATATTTGTTCCAGGTAAAGAATACTTTGAAAAGATCATGAAGTCTCAATTACTACAAACTATTTGATGGTTTATATACTATAAAATGTTAATCTTGGTCCAAACATATGTATAATCTTCTATGTATCTGTCAACATAAATTATTTTTAGATAACTTATATATTAGAAATGAAATGTCTGTCCATCAGTTTGTGCAAGAACACCTCCTAAATGGTAGGCAGCTTCCTCTTACCCTAACTAAAAGCAAGGTCAGGGACAAGAACATGGGAAGTGGCAGGAATGGGGTTGTTTTCCACAACATGTGAAAGAAGGGGCAGAGAGAGAAGGGATGTGATCCTCACACTCACTGGGGGCAGCAAGTGGGGACAGGATGCTGCAGAGTGAGCACTGGGGACAGGCACATCAGCACAAGACTGATCAGCTGAGGATGGTGCTCTGCATGTTGCCAGCCAGGTCATCTTCTATGGATAAAGTTCCCCTCTCTCCCCTGCAGCTACAGGGTCTGGACATTACACACACACACCCTGCTATGGCACCTGGGAATTCCTCTTCCCACCTAAGGGCACATTCCTCATCCCCTGCTGCTCCATGAAGGCACATGAAGATTCTCCCATCCCCTGTTGAGGGCTCCCACGAGGCCTAGCAATTTCCCCTACCCCTGATACTTCACCTGAAGCATGGGGATTCCCTTCGCCCCCACCCCCATTTCCTCAGGGGGCCTGGGGATTCCCTCCCCCTCCCCCAAATCTCTCCCCTGCACCACTTCATCCAGGACATGGGGATTCCCTTCCCCCTTGCCTTCACTCAGGGCCTGGGGATTCCCTTCTCTCTTTCCCCCCTGACTTTACCCACACATTTGGGATTCCCGATTTCTCCTCTGTGCCATTGCACCCAGGCCCTGGGGATTCCTTCCCTCATGCTCATGGGGCCTGAGTATGCCCTTAAATACCCAAGCAATGCTGGGTAAATCTGCTAGTGTGGGTGTGTATATATAATGTAAATACTACTCTGTTGTATTCCACAACTAGTATTACATGTAGAGTGTGGCATGCATTCAGAAGAGTCACATTACTTACAAGCAGAAAAGCCATGACTTAGGGAGATTATCTCCGCCACTCCCCCACCCTGCCCAAAAAAATGTGTGGGAGGTTACAACTGTTTAGAATAATTCCCAAGGAGGATAGAATACTCAGAACAGTACAGCTTAAGTGGTCAAAAGTGCATGAAAAATGCAATTTATTACATGGATATCACCACCAGATGTCATATAACATGGCTATAGAAACTCAACCATTTGGGCTTCAGCTAGCTTCCTTTGTAAAAACTTGTTTTCCAACCCCAAATGATATGGTTTGGAAAACTAGAATTGTCAGGTTTGCTCTGAAGCAAAGGACAATAATTTGGTCTGTACAAAGGTGGAAGAAAATTTAAATTATACTGTATGTAAGCTGGATGGAGACAAAAACAATAGAAAAAAGACCATCTCAAATCAGGACAGCTTTTTAAGGACCTGTAACTCAAACACAGCTTGCTACTCCCCCTTCAAACTCCTTGTGTGATTAAATCTACTTAGAAATGCATAAATTAATTTCAGTTAATGTATTATAAAACTTAACAGAGTTATTAATAGTTCTGTTCCCAGTACTTTGGGACCCATCCTGCTTCTAACTGAAAATCAGTGAGGGATTTTTGCCATTAGCTAAATAGGAAAATAATCACTTCAGAAGTGACTTTTTTGTGGTACTGAGCACTGACATCAATCAGCACTATGGATGCTCAGCGCTTCTGAACATAAGATACCATAGCTGAGAATGGTAACAATTAGGGATGTAAATGGGAAACCAGTTAACAGTATAATGCTTATCAGTAACTGACTAACCAGTGCCTAGCCCAGCCAGTGTAGTAGTCCCCTGCCCATGAGAGGGAGGTACTCCTGCTCAGTCAGGTCCACCCTGCCTTGACAGACAGTTAACCAGTTTAACTATATATTTAACTGGTTAACATTTTAAAGGCTATTTTACATCCCTAATATCAATTAGAACAAACTATTAAGGCATGTGATGGATTTTTCCATCTCTTTCATGTTTTCTGATCAAGACTGGATGCCTTCTTGGAAGATATGCTTTAGTCAAACACAAATTATTGGGCTCAGTACTGGCATGACTTGGTGAAATGCTATGTCTTGTAATAAACAGGAGATAATACTAGGTGACCTAAGGATATATTCTAGCCTTATCACTGTGAATTTATGAATAGCTGAGATAGGAAATGGGTGCAGATCCTCAAAAGCTTTGACTCCTTATGAGGAGTTGGGCTGTGATCCTTTTACAAGGCTGATTTTGATTCACCTTGTAACACAAAATTAAATATTAAAAAACAGCACAAGGGAAAGACCGGTGGTTTCAGAGTTAATATCATTGTATTGTTGTATCATTGACTTGTTCTGAAAATATTAATAAACCCTATTACATGATACAAAAAATACCTCTATTTTAAAATATTTTAAATATCTCTCAATTATCCACTAACTGCAATGCACTATAGAACATGGAACTGAAGTAGATTTTTACAGCGGCAAGGGCAGCAATAGTCAAATCTTTAATATCTGAAAAATAAATTCAATTCTGTCAATAAAGCCAACTAGGATGGAAGATATGACAATAGAAAATACTTGTCATCTGCTTCCAAAATGGCCCAAGCTACTCTTTAAAAACAAAATAAAACCCTCAATCAATTGAGAAAAGTATTCCCTTGGTGTGAGTAACTGAGCCACACAACTCCATAAAAAGTGGGTACAAAACATTCTGAAAACATAATAATAGCCTTTACACCAATGTAGCACTAGTGTAAATTACTGTAGTCACTACAGGGCAATTGAGAATCAAGCCTACACTTTCAAAATGACATGTCAAAGTCCACAGAGGAAGTTTGTGGTACAGCCAGGCTTGGGAAAAGAACCTCCGGGGGCTAGATTATGCTATTTAGGAACAACTGTCATAAGAAGCAGCCTCCACTGGTCTCTGATGCAGGCAAGAGCTTTCCCACTAATTATGCTGACCATACGTCCCAATTTTTCCAGGACAGTCCCAAATTTAAATACTCTGTCCCAGTGCCCCATCAAGTAGTGAAATGTCCCGGAAAGTCCCACCGGACATTTCACTATTTGACTCTGGCTTGCGGGAAGAAGCAAGAAATGGCACTGTGCCATTGGTCCTCGTATGGTGCAGCAGCCTCCTCCCCAGCAGGGCATATAAGGCAGCTGAGCTGGCTTCTAGTAGTGTGCAGACCCTCCCTGTCCCCTCCCCTTCCGCCCTATGCAGGACCACCTCTGCCATGAGGGGTTCTGGTCTGGTGGCATCCCCTCGTCCTCCTTCAGGCCACCTTGGAGTCCCAGCAGGAGCCATGCGAAGCCCGGCTGGGAGGCTGCGGGGTGCACTTGGGCTCAACAGGGGCCAGGACTGCAGTAGAGGCTGCCCGCGATGCTATTTTTAGTACTGCAGTCCAGGTCCCAGTGGGCTGCCCTGCGTCAGCTGGAGTCAAGAGGCAGGGCATGAGGGGTGGACATGAGCATAAGGCATGTTCCAGCCAGGGCAGCCTCACTGGAACAGGCCTCATGCAACTGCTGCTTGACTCCAGCTGGAGCCAAGCAGCCCACGGGGACCGGGACCACAGTACTAAAAATAGAACCACGGACAGCCTCTACTCCAGTCACAGCCCACAGTCCCACCCCCAGGAGCAGCTGGGGCTGGGGCTATGGGGACTTGTTCTGGGACCAGACCGTTATAATAAAAATAGTGTGCAGCCCCAGCTCCAGCCCCACAAACTGCTTTCCATGTCGAAGGAAGAAGGTGAGGGAAAGGGCAGGGGGAGAATTAAGAGGGAGGTGGGTGAGGAAAGAAAGGGGCTTGTGCTGAGAGGAGAGGGAGGCAGGGCAGGAGAAGAAAGGGGCAGGCACCAAGGGGCAGGCTGGAGGAGAGACTAATGCCAGGGGGTCAGGAGGAGACAATGAGGAAAAGGGCAGGAGGAGAGATGGAAGGGAAGGTGTCAGTGGGGGTGGGAGAAGGGAGGGAACAGGGTGATGCTGGGAGAGGGGAGAGGCAATGGGGGCAAGAGGGAGGAAGAGGAGAGGGAAGGAGTGGGTGCTTGGGAGAAGAAGGGTTGAAAGAAGGGGTGGGCATGAGGAAGGTAGGGGATGGAGCAAGTCATGTGTGAGGTCACAGAGGGGCCTGAGGAGAACTGGGGCAAAGGATGGTGAGGGGGTGGGCACCAGAGAGAGAGAGGCAAGGAGGGAAGGGGCAGTGAGGGAAGGGGGAGGCACCAGGAAGTGCAGGGGTAAGGGAAGGTGCAGGTGCCAGAAGATTTTGGGGGTAAAACAGAAGGGCAGACACGTGGAGAGGAGGGATGGGCACCAGAGGACAGAGGAGAGAGGCAGGGCAGGTGGATAGAGGGAGGCGTTAGCAGAGGAGGTGGGAAGGGGTAGCTACAGATGATCAGAGTGGGGCTAGAGGAGGAGTGGGCATAGGGGGAAGAGAAAGGCTGGTACAGGGAAGGGGGAGGTCCCCAAAGGGCAGAGGGGAGTAAGAAGGGCAGGAGCCAGGACAGGAGAGGAAGGTGAGGGGTGGAAGCAGAAGGCACCAGGGGAGCAGATGAGGCGAGGGGAGGGGAGGAGACATGGCAGCAGAGGGAAAAGGGAGAGGTTTATACGATATTTATTAATAACTTGGGTGACACAGCGGCACACATCCAAACAGGCGCACATTAACTCAATACTGACACACACGACAGTTCATGGGAGGAAAATCTTAGAGGTAACACTTCCCCCAGCCTCTCCCCCCCTGCGCCCCCCGCCCTGAGCTAGTGCAATGAAAATCAGGTTAATGAAATAGTTAGTGGAATGAAATTCAGGTTAATGAAATTGCAGGATAGTTGCATGGGGAGTGGGGTCCTGTGGAGGTAGGGTTGCCAGATGGTTTCAATGAAAATACTGTACACACTTGACATTACATCACAATCTATATTACATCTCCTTTAGAAAATATGGGACATTTATATTTACTCTTTTATATTTTCTCAATTTGTTTCCTGAACAGAAAGCTGAAATACTGGACTGTTCAGTTCAAAATTACACACCTGGCAACCCTATGTGGGGGCCAAACTCATCCCTATTGGTAGGAGGATGGTGGGAGGAGTTCTTAGTGGGGTCACACAACACCCTTTACTGCTGGTCATCTAAACCCTGAGGGTACGTCTACACTAGCCCCCTAGTTTGAACTAGGGAGGCTAATGAGGGCGACCGAAATTGCAAATGAAGCACGGGATTTAAATATCCCGTGCTTCATTAGCATGTTCCCCAGACAGTCGCCATTTTGGAAATTGACTAGCCTGGAGTAACTGCCTGCGTCTACACATGGCAGTGAAACGGGGGGTCCAAAGTAACCCCTGAACTCAAATTAGCTGTTACTCCTGGAATGAGGTTTAACAGCTAATTCGAGTTAAGGGGTTACTTCAAACTCCCGTTTCACTGCCGCGTGTAGATGCAGACAGTTACTCCAGGCTAGTCAATTTCCAAAAATGGCGACCACCCCGAACATGCTAATGAAGCACAGGATATTTAAATCCCGCGCTTCATTTGCAATTTCAGTCGCCCTCATTAGCCTCCCTAGTTCGAACTAGGGGGCTAGTGTAGACGTACCCTGAGAGTACTACCTCCAGAGGTGTGACTTCTTGTTGTGGGGAGCGGAATGGGGGGGGGCTAATACGTCTCTAATTTTGGTTCAGAAAATAGGATCCCCATACCAGTACTCTGTTCCCATCAAGTGAGATATGTTCTGCTGCTGACTCTCATGGCGCACGGGCTGACGTGCATAGGGGCAACTGAAGACTCTGCCGCCCCGTCCCTGTCCTCTGCTTTAGGACGCCATGTCCCTGCCAGGTCAGGCCTGCTCCCACGTCGGTCTTTTTACACTGCCTTGGCCACTCAACGCCGTGCCGAAGGCCGGTCCCCACCGGGCAAGGCTGGCCCCAGCAGCCTGCCCCCAAGCTTCTTGCCCAGCCCAGCGAGGGTCACAGCCAGGAGAGGCTCCCTCAGGAGCCCCCTCCAGACCAGCAACTCGGGAACTCTGCCGGCCAGAGAGGCGGTTCCCACCCCAGAAGTAACGGCAGGCAGCGCCCCAGCCACCTCCCAGCACTTCCGTCAACACAGCCCGGGGCGAGTGACAGACAGGACGCGCCAATCGCAGCCTGCGAGGCAGCAGAAGGCGGGAGCGGTGGGGAGTTGCGCTGGGCGCGAGGACTCTCGGGGGCCGCGCGACCACGGCTCGTGAGTGTGCGTGCGGGGGGAGGGGGCGCAGCGTGGCCGTTTCCCCTCCACGTGCGGCGGCGGCGGGTCAGTGCCTGGCCGCGGGGATCGCCGGCAACCCTGCCTCCAGC